ATATTTAATTTGTTGTTCTGTTGCTTTTATTGTGGACCTTTAATAATTTTAGAACTACAGTTAGTCTAACTTCAAAGGTGAAAATTATATTACATACATGTGATTTGAAAAGTTGATTTAAAGTGTATAGTTTGAACCATGTCATAAATTTTGTTTCAACTTTCCTATTTATTAGTAACTCATCTTTCATGTTCAAGCTATCAATAAATAATCTACTCATATCACTTTCATTGTTATTTTCAAATTAATTAGTACATATATAACATTCTCAATAATAAATGAAAGTATTGAGTTTGTGCACCATGAATCTTACAGTATAAACAGTTGGACTTCATCACAATTCATTATGACATATAATATAACTATTTGAATCTCTTTATCGCTTATATATTATGTAACATGCTTCCCTGATGGCTCCTCTGATATTTGAAATATAGTTGTTTCTGGCTATGAAGGTGTCATCTACATAATGACATATTTGATGTCATTGCTTAAAATAATAGGAGTAGAAAGTAATTGTCTCCTGCAGCAAAAATGTTTCGCATATCGATCCCTCGGGATGTGCTTTAATCTTAACCATTTTTTATTATTTTATTTAAATATCCACAGCACAAAGATATTTTACATTGAATATTGTGGTAGTTTGGTATGAAATTAAATGCAACTCGCAATTGTACACATCGGGATGACACACCTCTAGAAAGATCACATCCATTTATACTACACTGGACCCCTGAGTATAGCATCACAACATAGAAGTATAAGCATATGCTCCATAGAGTCAAAGAAATCAGGAGAAAATATTAGCTCGAGCTTGGATAATGATAAGGGAATACTCGCACAACGATTTCTCAACGACTCAACATTCAGAGTCCATGCACACACATTTCTGAAGAATATACTTACTTTGATCAAGTGATCAAGCACCGGCTTTAGCAGCACCTAAAATGTAATAGGTAAAAAGCATTACAAAAAATATAACAGTCGTGACTTTTCATGCCAAACACACTCCCTGTTCTTATGACAAAATAGCATCTCAAATTTGAGACACGGCCACTAAGAAATTTCAAGGAATTCACTCACTCAAATATTATTCTCTAATGATCTAGTTTAAAACGATATGTAGCTCTGGTTAGTTTACTTGCATTTTTCTCTAGAAGTTCTAAGATTCTCCTCTTGCAGCACTATTTCAGGCTTTAACATTATCTTTTTGTTTTGCACTTGATATCCATCACAGTACTGAAGATATTATAAAAAAATCCTTCTCAATATGCATAATATCGAGGTTATGTCCAATCATATTAGTATTTCAGTATGGAAGATCCCAAAATATATTTTGCTTAGTCCAGTTGTGTGTGACACTGAAATCAAAAGGATGAGTTGAAGTTAACTCTAGTCTCTCGGTGATCTTTGGTACTTCAGTGATCATCTGCAATATTTTGATTTCAATTATTTTGGGGGTGAGCTTGATCTTTCAATCTTGTTTTTAAAGAATGCATCCATGTTTCTTCTAAATGGGTGATCACGACCCGAAAATCTTTGGTGACAGTTGAACCAACTAGTTTTCCTCCATGTTTCAAAGTAAATGTCTTCAACATATCCATAAAGTAAGTACAAGCCAGTTTCTCGGTTGTGCTCTAACCAACCAACTAGTTTTCCTCCATGTTTCAAAGTAAATGCCTTCAACATATCCATAAAGTACAAGCTAGTTTCTCGGTTGTGCTCTAACTAGCTAGCATTTCATAGGTCTGGAAATCACTAATTATCCACATAAGAGCTGCTCTCAGTTGAAAATTCTATTTCATAGAGATGTCATGATTAAACACGCCCATCTCCCATAACATTTGAAACTCTTCAATCAAAAGTTGTAAGTTGACGTCAATTTTCCTTTTTGAGCTATTCGGACTTGGTATGATCAATGTTAAAAATAAGAACATTGCGGTCATACACATATCAAGGCGGGAGGGCATAAATTGTATAGTGTAACAATTAGTGGCCAACACTAATATGAAATTGCGACGTGATAGTACAGGGTGAATCCATCTGCACATAAGTCAAGTCTAACATTGCATGCTTCAGCCGCAAAGTCTGGATAAGTACGATCAAAATGTCTTCAGGTCTCACCATATGACAGATGACACATGGAATTAGCATCAATATATCCAGTATTGGGTTAGGTCATGTGAGGGGTTGTACATAGAAACAACCTCTGAAGCTGGGGCATAAGAGGAAAATAGTAATTTTTTTTTTTTTTTTTTACAATTTCGCCTGATTTGTTTTGAATCTATCGACACCACAAAATTGACAAGTTGTCTTAATTGCGTTGACCTTCTAATAAATCATGCAACCATTAACACGACAATCAATCTTCTTAGATTGTAACCCTAACTTTGAAACTAATTTTTTTTGTTCTATATAGGTCATCAGGCACTAAACTTCTTGTAGGGTTTATCTCTTTCAATAATGTTGCTACTTGATTGAATTTTTCATTGGGAATGTTAAAATTAATTTGATGCTCAACATTCTCAGTGCCTCAGATAACTCTGTATGTATAGTGTAACCATCTCGTAAAGGTTATTGTACAACGTTCACTAACTCATAGCTATTCTAATTTGTTGTTCAATATTTCACTTTCTAGTGGAACACTCTCAACAAAATGAGCTCTATAAGCATCATTGACCATTTCTTTGTATGTGTCAGGATCATATCCTCTGTATGTGTCAGGATCATATTCCTCTACTGGAGGGTCATAACTTGATGAGGCACCTTTGTGATTGTGTTGAACTTCTGTTTGTTGCTCGTTATATGCAATCCAGCACCAATAATTTGGTTTGAATCCCTTATGAGGCCCAAGATACACTTGATTTTTGTGCTTCGCATAAGGAAACCACAACTTACCCTCTAAACGATAAATGGACAGTTATAATGCCAACTGCATGAATTTCTCAACACCATTCATGATCTCATCAGAGAGTCCTTTTCATCTTGAATATAATCTGCTATACATCCAAGCTCTCAAATTACAAATATTCATCTGCAATATAGATGTAGTTTTATAGATCAGTGCAACTATTACAGAAAATAAAAATTAGTTAATACTGACTAATATTTGAAGTTGACGTTAATTGGTTAAGCAAATCTCAGAATCTACCAAGGCGCATCAATTGGTCGGCATATAATGTGATCAAACCATGACTAAGACATCTCTATCTAATCTTTTCCGACAATCCGACAGTGGATCTATGACAACTATCACGTATGTGTCCATTTATCATTTTGTCTCTAAGCGTCAAGGCACTCATGCATCCACCTAAGCATTCACATCTCAGCAACAATTACCTTTTTTTTATGATTCCCTTTTAAAGGCCAAAAAATCTACGTTATAGAGCATTCTAAGCAATGTCATATAAAATTTTTCTTGTAGTATAAGCGGTACTTTTCTATCACACCAAAGACCCTATGCATTCCTCCACTTCAACCAACCAACTTGAATTCTACAAATAAAATTCCAATCAATGTCACCGTCACTTTGAAAAATAACTCGATGTATTCCTCCACTTCAGCCAGCCAACATGAATTCTACAAATTATAATATCCCCATTTATATTGCCATCACTTTGAACAAAATACTTGATTTATTCCTCCACTTCAACCAACAATGTGAATTCTACAAATAACATCCCCAAATATATCGATATCACTTTGAACAATAGACCTAATGCATTCCTCCACTTCAACGAGTCATTGTGAATTCTAAAAATAACATCTTCATCTATATCACTATCACTTTGAACAATAGAACTGATGTATTACTCCACTACTTCAACCAACCAACTTAGAATTTTGCTAATAACATTCCCATCTATATCAACATCACTTTGAACTATATACCCGTTGCATTACTCCACTACATCACCTAACCAACTTTAATTTTACGAATAGCATTCCCATCTAGATTCACACACATACCATTTAATACTTATGCATATACACTGTTAACACTTAAACTTCAATTCATAAAGAGATTTGCACACATATCACTAAAATCTTTTATATATACATACCTAACACCTAAATTTCAAATCTCACATGCATACTAGAATTTTAAGAGGAAAAATGAGGCAAAAAACATTACCTTCCTCGATCGGTCACAAAACCAAGAGAGAGTGGCGACGCTGTCGACTAGGTCAAGGGCAACCGACAACAGTTAGGGAGACAACAACCGACAACGACAATGTATCAGGAGAGGGTTTCGGTGTCATGAGAGGGAGGAAAGGAGATGTGCGGGTTTCGGCGGCCACGGGGGAATTGATTTCCAAAATATCATTTTTAAAAATTAAAAATATCAATTTGATATTTCTTCATGGATTTTCAAAATATCAATTTTAAAAATTAAAATTTTAAAATCATAGAGACATGTCAATGCTTTAATTGAGATTATTCTTACCCTTTTGGGAAATATACACAATAGTAAAATAACTTTCATCTTAACCAAAGTATTTAGGGAAAAATGATAGTTCATGCATACATAAATTTTAAAATATTTATTTATTAATTAAATGTTATAAAATAATATTTTTTTTATTGTTTGAGATAATATTTTATTCTTGATATTCTATTCAAACTCTGGTTCACAAAGACATAAATCTTAATATCTTTATATATTAATTAATTTAATTACATAATTATATATTTTTATTTTTTGAGATGATATATTACTTTTAATATTATATTTAATAATCTAAAAAGAGATTTAAGTTTTTTTTGTGGTGGTAGAATTCTCATCACGCATTATTACTCACCAAAGTTGCAAGGGTTGAAGGAATCATCCAACTCCTACAATGGTTAAAGTAGAGCACCAAATATGCCCACCTAGGGCGTTTGTTTAGAGTATAAAAAATAGATTTTTAAAATTTAAGAAGATTATTTGTAAGTAAAAAAAACATACTGTACTATAATAGCGCTAATTTCAAAATGGAAATGTAAATATAACATTAAAAAACGTCGTATCTGCTTTGGACAAAAACATCAGCAGGCATTTGACAACAAGATTTTAGTTTGGATGTGAAAGAAAAGAGCAGAATTAATTCTAAATGTGATTACCATCTTCCATTTCTTCAGCATCCTCAAAGCGCTGATCATTGATTTGGAGCTGCAGGAGAGGACGGATTATGCAATCAGCCATGGATATATAAGCTTAGTTATGGCAGCTTAATAATCAGATAAAAAAAACATCAACAGAATGAGAGTGGATAAACGAATGAAATTGAGGCATAAAAGGTGATTATAGAAATTAAAGACATATTTGGATACAAAAATCTTCATTTTGTTAACGGACGGGTAAAAATTCCTGGAAATAAAATGTGACCCAAATGGATTCAAGTTCCCTTGACCGCATAGCATTCCCGGACTAAAATTTGAGATTCCGTCAAGATTCTTGCAAGTAAAAATCACCTCAAGAAATAAGGAACTTCGAATGCAAATCATCAAATGAAACTTTTACAATTGCGCAATTAGATGTGTTCTCTTAGGGCAATTGAGCCCACAATCACATTGAAGCACGTCTCAAACAACTTGAGCAAGATGTATACCTCACATTTAGTGAGGTGGATTCATTTAGATTTTTTCCCATATTAAATGGTTTGACGCAACCAGGACCTAGCCTGCACACTCTCACGATGACATCCCAGTTAGCCACCCTAGTGCCGCCAAACTGCTACTTAGCCACCCTAGTGCCACCAAACTGCTAGTTACGCAGCCGCAGCCACTGCCTACTGCCGCTGCCACCTCAGCCTCCAGTCGCCGCCTCCTGCACATGGTTTTCTCACACTTATAAGCCAGCTATCCCTAGCGCCGCTGTCGCTGCTGCTACATGTTGCTTCGACCTCCACCACCACACCCACTAACTGATGGTTTTCTCACACTTATAAGCCAGCTATCCCTAGTGCCGCTGCCGCTGCCGCTACATGTTGCTTCCACCACCACCACACCCACTACCTATTGTTTCTGCCACCTCGTCGCCATGAGTTGCTTCTAACACCACTATCGCCTTCTCTTCTTGTTGTTGTTGTCATTGTCATCAACGCTGCCTCAACAAATATTCGTCTTCCAAGTTCCACAAAATTTTCAAGTTTCCACAACTTTAAACCCTATTTTTATATGTCTTTCAATATTTACATGGGTTCAATTTTTTTTTTAATTTTGAAACAATATCGTCATTCTAGGGCTTTATAAGAAATAATTAGAGCAAATGATAAATCAACAATGGTCATCGAAAGTATCTGACATTGAGATGGTGTGCTAGTGAACGATGGAGACAACTATAAGACATGGTCATTGGAAATGGAATTAGTATGAGAAGACAGTTAAAGGTGCTGTAAAGATGAAGAAACACATCTCCGACTTTACATAAAAATATTGCATCATGTACCAAAGTGCCAGAAACAGTGAGAGAAAATTTGATCATATATGAATTACTCAACAATGTCAAAGTATTTTGCATACTGATAAATTGATGACAGAGTTGATGTCAGCTCTTACTACGTGAGTGCAATGTCAAGAACTTATCATCTTTGCAATTAATATCTAGTAAAGTTACAAAAATCTCCTAGATCACCATATGATAAATAGGGAGGATGACATAGATCATAGAGGGGGCAATTGGAGCTCAGGAGATGTCCTCAAAGCAATAGTCAATAGGCACACAAATTTATCTACATAAATATTGGGAGATTTTTTTATGAGAATGTCATTCCATTCAATATGGCCACCTCCCCTTCTTACTTCAATATATGATCCGTTCAATATATGCTTATTGGGAGACTTTACTTCCGGTGCATGATTTGAGCACATGGGCGTTGAAGGAAGAACCAAGTAATACAAAGAAGTTCATAAAAAATATTAAGATTACTTTGATTCTGACTGAAGTGACAATCATTTAATATGGGTTACCGCACATGAAGAAAAAAAATGATTAATACTTTGGTAAATGATTGATTTCATGGTACAAATTTTATGAAATCTGAAGCATTTGATCAAATTAAGGATATAAAGAATAATTTTGGACTACTTGATGAAGAGTTAAAAAGGGATTAAAAAACATTTAATAGAACAAATTTGTGAGCGATAATACTAGCGCATATAGCACAGCTGGAAATAAATTTATGTCACTGAGAAATCACCAATATTACAAACCTTATGTTGCACGCTAGATAGACTTGAATTTAGGTAAGTTTTACAAAAAAAATATTAGTAAATTCATTCAATCATTCTTGGGTATTTCTTTTAATGCTAAAATTTTCTAAGGAATACAGGTTCTTTTGTAACGAGATTTGTTACAGCCTATTTGACTCAAAGCTGTGCAATAATATTCACCATCATTTAATAACTTAGTTATGCATGGGAAAGGAAAGCTAGAAGAAAAAGTCAACAAAAAAAAATTAAATGAAATTTTTTGATCTAGCGCACACATATGCAATAGAAACTGAAAAGCCATTAGCTCAAATTTTGAGGAGGGTAAATATAGAGAAAAAGTCAGATATATGCTTTATTTACAATGCAGTGGATGAGGCTAATTAGTTAATAGAATATAACTTAAGAAAAGATGTCAATTATAGAGATTTAGGATATCATTGATGAGAAATGGGAGCTTCAGCTCCACTGTCATTTGCATATTGTTAGATATTTCATTAACCATCAATTTTAATATACTAAGAATAAATCTAACAATCCTGAGGTCAAGTTTAGGATATATACTATTATATGGATAGATTGATTGCTGTCCAAACTTAGAAAGTAAAAACTGATATGCAACTTATTATATTTAGAAAAAAGTAATGTTTATTTATATTACGGGAAGCTAAAGATACAGCTCCAAAATATTTTCAAAAAAATTTTTAATATGAATGTGTCTATTAAAAAATAATAATAATAAATCTCCAAATTCTAAATTTTTAAGTTCTAAGTATAATGTTTTCTTTCAAAAATTGAATGAAGAATTCAATTGGGTGATGAAATTCCAAACTTACAATATTTTGATGTTAAAATTTTAGAAGTTCATGCTTATCATTTGGATGTGAGTGCAACTAGAGCATAAATAATCAAGTTCACAAAAAAAAACAAAAAATCATTTAAACTTAATTATGAATTCATTGGTCGACATCATGTATAATAAGAGATTAAAAAATTTTGAAGAAAAGTGTTAGACAGAAAATGAAAATCTCCTACTATGTGAAGATATAACAACAGATGATGAATTGACAACAATGGGGTCACATAATCTGAATTACAATGAAAAAATTTAAGCGCACATCAAGCATATGGCAATAAGAGATGAAAAGAAAATGTATTTATATAAATATACATGCAAAAAGATGCAGAACCCCACAATAACGTGATTTTGTGGCTTGTGGAACTCCCACGATCACGAGAATGCCAAGTAGCGCAAGCTTTCCTTTTCTTTTTCTTTCTTTTACTTTTCTTTCTTGTTTATTCTTCCTATTCTGTTTTGTTTTTTTTTCCCCCTACCCTCTTTGTTTCTTAATAGGGTAGTATTTTCTACTGAGAGACTACTCATGTGTGTCTTTTGTTGTTTTACGCAGGGATCTTTTGTTTTTTTTTTTTGTGTTTTGGAGGTATTATCTAATTTATGCTTAGGAATGGTATATCATCTTCCTTTTGCAAGCGGTGTGTCTATATCTTGCTCAGATATAGGAGGTGGAACCTTCTTGTCGCCCGTACATTGTCGTTTCACCTTTCTATAGTTGTTTTTAAGTTTGAATGGCAGCCAAACTCCAATCTGCTGTCCAACAGCAGGTTTCACCTCTCATCTCCTTTCAAACGTTGCCAACTGCACCTATTCTCCTTCTCGTGTCATTCCACAACAACCTCTCCGCAAAACCAGCTTCATAAACACCTTTTAAGAGCCCTTGAATGGTGTCATTACATCAGAGCCCGACAATCCCTAAAATTTTAGGAATTTTTTTTCCTACTCCTTTCTGAGCATTCACATAACAAAAATCTTCCAACAATTCAATACTCTGGCCATTCCTATCACAATTCCTAGCCCTACCTAAATTTTCAAAAACCAAATTTCATACCTCCACAAAAAATTCACCCTGATACAAAGCACTAAAACCAAAGCCCCCGAAAAAGATTTGATTAATATCACCCCCACATCTGCCAAAACACTAATCAAGAAAAAAGAACACAATGTCGCCTAAGAGTTTCACCCAAAGATGTCCAGGAACTTACTATGAAAAATATATAGAGAGAAATCCTTCAACCATAACAAATATTTGCCAACTTAGAGATGAGACAACCCAATGAAGTCACTCGAAATCATAATGGAGACCGCTGGATCGAGAGAAGAACGTAAATCCCCAAAAATGAAGAACCAATGCCCTATCAATCTGGCATGGATATCTACACAGCAGGCAAAATTTTGAAGTGAAGGTTAGCTTGCTGGATTTTGATAGTCTCATGGATCCAGATAAGTTTATCAAGTGTCTCCAGATAGTGGAACTACATTTCAGCTAACAAAAGAGTCAAACTGGTCGTTGTTCAGTTAGGAAAGAATACTTCCTTAAAGAGGGAGAGCCTGAAACGTCTTCAAAAGCGTGAAGGATAAATAAAATCTTTATTCGTTCCAAAACAAAACGAGAGATACAGCCCAAGTACCTATCATTATATTACAGGCAAGATGTATTTTTGTAAATTCACCGCTTATAGCAAAAAAAAACTCAGTAAAAGAATACACAGCTGAGTTCAAAAAACTCTATGTTGAAATGTGAGTAGCCCAAGGAAAATAGCATAACACAATATCTAAATGTAGAGTTGTGGAACTAGCTCAACAGTTGAAGAACGCTTGCAAATCAAATCAAATTTTAGATCGAATCAAAATCTGCTCGATATCAATATGTCAAGTTGTGAGCCAAATTCAAAGATCAAATTTATTTTGAGCACATTATGATCCATAGTTGATATCCACACACACACACACACACACACACATATATATATATATATACCGATCCTCGTCCTCATTCTCGCTTTGTTAAGGTTCGCCTATGGCGATCCCTAGTTTTTTCTAATTCACTGCATTTTCGTCGAACTGTTTCGTCCTTGTCCCAGTCTTTCTTCGTCACGTCGCAG